CCATTGCAGTTTAAATCACAGCAAGTAAATCATCGAAAATTTTTACTTCTTGGAGACCAGGACTTTTACTCCTATTGCAATAGGAAGGAAGAAATTCCCTGTGTGGTTGGAACTCACGTACCGTCACTTTCCACAGCGGGTCATGCAGTGGAAAGCATCAAGTGTCTAAGGATTTAAATTCAATGATGGTACTCCCAAGAGTTGTAATATGGTTGGTGTGACTGATTCAATGTTTCATTCCAGTATGAGAAAGAGGAGCGCGTCGGCATGGTGGCACGATCACTGATAGCACTGATATCATTGATACCACAAGCAATGTATTTAGTCGCGTCGAAGTGTGTTCGTAAGAGCTTTGGCGGCGACAAGATACGCACTGTTAATGCAGTTATTGTTACCAGAGAATATCTCCGTCAAAATGAAATTAGATTCACACACAACAGATATGGCGCTAGCATATGTAAATCATCGTTTTCATAATCGAACTGGTCGCTTTCACACAAAACCAGTGGTCTTCACAAAAAACTACTACGTACTAGTCGTTATTACAACAATTTCGTCGTTAACACACAACATGGGGCGATGTCACAAACGCGTCACGTTTAATACTCTTGTGAGTTGGATTTTTCCTGTCCAAAGAGAGTCTCAGACCAAGTCATATTGGTGAGCTTGTTGACGATGGTAGTAGCTGGTCTAAATATAGGGTAGCGGCATAACCTTGTCGCCATTCAACAGCGTGCTGCGCACGAGTACAACGACTCAGGCGCAAGTATTGCAATGTAAGCCTGGTGGCCACGTGCTGTCGCACACAGTGTACTTCATGACACCAACCACCCTCAGCGAAACCTTGTCCGTTTGTTGCGTAGGCTGAATCCATCCTACGCCTCAAGCCGACACAGTTCGAAATCGTGATCGGTCTGGTCTTATTGCTACTGCTACTGCACGGAACCTGGCGTACCATAGCTATATCCTACGTAGTAGATAGAATGTACCATGTTTTGCAGCCGAAGCTGAAGGTTGCTTGGGCAGGAGCCCTCCCCTGCAACGTGGTGGCCAATGCCAGCAAGCTAGAGACTACAAATCGAAGAATGACCTCATTACAACTTGTGATTGGCTATAAATAAAAAATATATGTAACCAATCAGAGGGCATTGTACTTGGACACTGTCGACATGGCTGAAGTACGGTGGTGGGCTCGCTGCCTCTCCATGCCTGACTGCTGTAGTTCCCTTGCATTGGGTTTATCCTTGTCGAAAACAAGCTTAGCTATGATGACAGGAGTTGCTATACCAGTTAATGTGGCACCGTAGTAATTGATGCTATTGTATCGCATACTGCAGTACATATACTGAGGGGAATGTCAGGGAAAGCTTGAGACTTGAACCGTGCATGCGCTGACTGTGAGTTATCAATGATAATGCCATGCACGATGTTCGACATTATGTAGTAGTACTGCCTAGTAGGTACGGGAGGCATGGGCGTATTGGTCGTACATGGGGATATTGGTCTGGGCCCAGTGGAGGCAGTGAGTGGGGGCTGTGAGGATCCTGGGGGAGGTGTTGCTGGTGTCCGTGGGCGGGCATCTGAGTATCGGCTCACTGGGCTATCCTCCGCCGACGCTGGGGCACCACATGTACCACCAATATGGAACAAATACGCACCGCCGGGGACCCCCCGCTCCTCACAGAGGTTAACAATAACATTAGGCTCAAACACCTACACCACGACACCGCCCCAACGGGCCATGACCGCCGCATACGCACCCGCCGTGCCCACCTGCAAGCCAAGACACGTGACTGGCACTCCCGTCGACTCTCCTTACTGCCACCGGCCACCCCATCACCCCCGGTAAGCAACGCCCCGCCGATCCTGCCCCCGCGACGGCCCCCCGACCCTAAAAGACTACCTCCAGAAGCCTAAGCACATCGTTTCTCCTGGAGTCTGCAACAAATAGGTTTTCCAACTAGTTATGTCCGCTAGCTCCAAAAGCAGCTAGTACGTGGCCGAGGCCATTAAGTGCCCGCTGAGTGATCTTAACTTTACAGCGTAATATCAATATCAATACATTGCATATTTGAGTGCGCTAATGGTAGCATACAGAATGCGCATTGTCTATCGGGCTCGGAGGGTCAATAACTGTGTAGGGGTATACAGTAGGGCATCAAGGGGGTGCACATCGCTGCAGTTGCAGCGATCAAAGCTGAATGGCAGCGTCGTTGATGGTCAGCATCTCCGTTCTACAAGTGCATACCTAGTACGCAATATCCAAACCTGCTAACAGTTCCAAGAATTAGCGCTTACTTGCATATCCTATCCTGTCATTGAGCCCATGCACATAAGTGCCCATGGGTAAACATATAGTCAAATAATGTACGACGCATCGTTAACTCAACTTCATGCAAGGTTCAGGTCTCAATTATCCACTACAGCCGATATCCTAAGGTAGGTCATGGTCATGACAGATTACTGAAGTGTTGTACATGACGCTGCGAGCACAAATGAGCATGACCGGTATAGCAACTGCTGCCATCATACCTAAGCTTGTTTTCGACAAGGATACTGTAGATCCAATGCAAGGGAACTACAGCAGTCAGGCATAGAGAGGCAGCGAGCCCACCACCGTGCTTCAGCCTTGTCGACAGTGTCCTAGTACAATGCCTTCTGAATTGCTGATTGGTTACTTACCCTTTTTATTTATAGCCAATCACAAGTTGTAACGAGGTCATTGTTCAATTTGTAGTCTTAAGCTCACTGGCATCGGCCATCACTTTGCAGGGGAGGGCTCTTGCCCAAGCAACCTTCAGCTTCTGCTGCAAAACGTGGTACATTCTATCTACTACGTAGGATATAGCTATGCTACGCCAGGTTCCGTGCAGAAACAGCAGCAATAAGACCAGACCGATCACATTGATTTCGAGCTACGTCGGCTTGTGGAACGTAGGATGGATTTCAACCTACGCCACAAGACGACAAAGTTTCGCCGAGGGCGAAAGGTGGCTTGAAGTAAACCGCACAGGCTTGCATCGTGGCCACCAGCCTTCAATTGCTACACCTTGTGGCCGAGCCGTTAAAATGAACTCATGCGCTACAGTATGTGCTGGAAGGCTATGCCGCTAACGTTCGTCGTCAACAAACTCACCGACAATACTGTAACTAGTTAGTTTGGTAGTTGACACCCTCAACTTCCCAGGGCATGACTAAATTTGTGATTCACCCTGTTCTGTTAGAGCATCCCCACTGCCCTCTCAGTCAGGTACCGGTACTGTAGCAGCGCCTGCTAACTGTGTAGGAGGTGTTTGTACCTTTTAGCGGCTTTTCCGCTTTTCCTTGTGTATAAGTCGGCGCGGACATCTGGTCACAGAACATCATAGGATGTCGTAGCCAATCATAGACTAGTTTTGATTAGCTGTTTCTTTGCAGTCAGAAGTCCAGTTCTCCCTTCTACAGTCGTCCTACTTCCCTCGTCACTCGAAGTAATCGTAACTTCCAGCTGACTACTGTACTGTTGGTCTATTAATACAGTATCAGCAAATAGAATACGAATGTAACTCCTGGGCACCTTCCCACGTCAACAATCCTGTATAACTGGATACTCCGGAGTACATTTGTACAGATTGTGAGGATGACTCTGTGTATTGTGGAAAAGACCTATTTTCTGTGGAACAGCCCAAATCTACTGTGTGATGTACAATTTGGTTGTGACAAAGGCTTTCCCTCCTCTGATTGTGCATCTCTTGTTTAATCCAATGTCGATTATGTGTTAGCAAATATATAGTTGTACTTTCCTCCTTTTATCAGTTCTTATTTATTTGCTTAGGCCCAGGTGATAGAATATTAATTGCTATTATTAATGTGAACACAAGACGAGAAAATAATATTTATTAATATTTGGGGGATATCCCAAGTTTCCTAAATCACCGTGCCCACCTTGACACTGGCTAACCCTGCCCCCTTACGGACTTCCGTTGTAGAGAAGGAGTACAGCCTGGGCACAGCAGGCGCACTTGGTGGTGACGAACATTACGCTGCAGGCACCCGCAATGGGCACCAGGGGAGTAAAATTGTAAAATGAGAAACTGCCTCTCTGTGAAATGGTGATGGTGAGCCCATACTAAGCTTATGCAGGGAAAGTACTTGGCCTGGAACTTGCCTTTATTTTGGTGTGAGTTTGACCCAGCTGCTGAAGATTGCCACGTGGTGAGAGAAAGTGAAGCACAGAACCGCAATATCTTATTACTGTTCAAAATATAGTATTCCTTTATCATTTTACAAATTCCAGTCTGCTCGTCTGTTTTTTACACAATCCTAATCCATAATTACTTCAAGTATAAAATTCGGCACATCACTGGTCGCGTCAATGTAAATTTTGCGCAATACTATTGTTGTGTTTATGCTAAACTGGAGAATGAATCGACGCAACCAATACAGAAGAATCGGCAGTAGGATTTAGCCAATCAGATTGCAGTAAACCATCATCAACGCCAAATTAGTGTGTGACTTATTACAAAGAATCGATCGATAGCGATTCACCACAAAAGTCCAAATTTTGGGTACAATGACAATAGGGTGATTTTGCAAAAGTCAATCTCCCTGTGAATCTTCCAGTTACGGTTCACAGGGAGTAGTTTGTGGATGGTGCTTTTCAATTGAGGAATTTTGAAGTTTGTACAAAGTAACGGGCTGGATGGGAAGGCCGGACCTCAGCAGTCCGACCCATCTACAACTTCGATAATTTACATTTAGTTGTCCTTTCAACCCATGCCCATCTTCACACACTCGGTAGAAACACGATCAATGAAACCAAGATACTTCGAAGTTTTGATAAGAGTCGTCATGCAGAAAGTCTCATGTGTGTCGAACGTTGTATGGTTGCTAGAATAGTAAGGCGCCCCCAAGTAGAAATTCGTCCTATACTATCATGTAGTTGCTCGATGTATTCCTTGTCGCTATCGGTAGCGTACAACAACATGTAATGGTTTATTCCCAACGAAGAAGAGCTGGACATGATGCGAAGGATGACCTGCGGACGTTTGCCATAATGGCGCCTGGTTTCGCGATGTACCTAGTTTTCAATCATCTATAATCTACTGTACCCGACTTTCCACGGCTGGACGCGATCGTGTAAGTCGTACTAGTGGTACAAACCACTTATAATCGACAGGGTGGATGGTACGAAATCGGTCTCGCCAGAGAGAGCCAGATGCGGTAGTGCACATCTCATTGCACAATAGCTTCAACACCTTCAATGGCACAATCGTACAACCTCTAACCACAACATCCGCCCCCCAAACGATCCCCCCGCCGAAAGCTCAAACATTGTTCAATTTGACCACTTCGGCAATGATCAATTCCACGAGCTATCGTGACGCCACGACGCCCAAGCCAGCCCATACGCCAGGCGGCTACCCCACCGACAACACCGTTAT